TAAAGCTAGCTAATTTTTAAATTTCTTGTAGAGATGAGGTCTCACTATATTGCCTAGGGGGTCTCAAACTCCTGGGCTCAAGTGATCCTCCCACTTCGGTCTCCCAAAGTGCTGGGATTAAAGGCATGAGTCACTGCGCTCAGCCACATTATTTCTGATATCTTTTTGTATATATGAAATACAAATAAAGATTTTTCCAAAAAACTCCATTGGATTTAGCCTGAACTGGTGGTTGTCCATGACTCAGGTTAGACTGCCTATAGGGCATGGGTGAACCCAGTTCTGGTGTGGACTTATTTGGGGCAGATGTACTGGATGTGGAGAGGATGCTGCTGTATGGGCGGTGAGGTTCTCTCCAAGTGCTGTTAGCAGCACACAGACTCTGGATCCTCTTCACAAAGGCTGCGGTCAAGAGCACAGAAACTGGTGCCAAAATGCCATCTTGTTCTAATCCAATACTCAGTCACTTAGTAGCTGTGTGACTTTGGGCAAGTTACTTAGCCTCTCTGTATTTTAGTTCCCTCATTTGTAAAATGGGGATGATAAAATTAACCTATTTCATGGGGCCCTTATGATAACTAAAAAGGAATGCTTGTAAAGTGCTGAGCACAATGCCTGGAACCTAGTAAATGCTTTATTAGGGTTTGTTAAAAATAGAGAAGGCCAGATGCAGTGACTCACGCCTGTAATCCCAACGTTTGGGAGGCCAAGGTGGGCGGATGGCTTGAGCTCAAGAGTTTGAGACCAGCCTAGGCAACATAGCAGGACCCTGTCTCTACAAAAAATCAAAAAATTAGCACGGCGTGGTGGTGCACGCCTGTAGTTCCAGCTGCTTGGGGGGCTGAGATGGGAGCATCGCTTAAAGCCAGGATATTGAGGCGCGGTAAACTCTGATCGCGCCACTGCACTCCCCCTCCTGGGTGACGGAGCGAGGCCCCCGACTTCCGGGGTAGGAAAGAATAGAGGAAAGGGCTGCTTGGTGCTAAGTTAACTTGGAGAGTTTTTCCTCTGGGGTTGGTGCGATGACCTGGGAGAACACCAGATGGCAGCAAAGCATTATTTTCTGGTGATAGAGCATCCCCACTTTGCATCAGCTGCCCTGGGTTTTCCCAAAGACCCTGAGGGCACACTCACTTCCGCTCTAACCAGGCTCTGCTAAATGGTACCAGACTACCATGGACTCATTGCAGCCTGCACCTTTGTTCTGACCGGGGTGATTATCACTGAAGACTTTTTTTTTTTTTTTTTTTTTGAGAGGGAGTCTTTGCCTTGTCACCCTGGACC